ACCCGCCCGACCCCAATGTAGCCCCGCCCAACCCTGAAAGCCCCACTCCCCCAAGCTAGCCCCTCTACACCACGACCTAGCCCCACCCCACTGTGACCTAACCCCGCCCTATCCCAGACTGGCCACGCCCACCGGTGATTAGCTCCGCCCACTATGACCTAACCCCGGTCCCACCCCATCAGTGCCTAGCCCCGCCCCACTGTGACCTTGCCCCGCCCCATCACAGACTGGCCACGCCCCACCCATGCTTAGCTCCGCCCCAGTATGGCCTAACCCCCACCCCACCCCAACCGAGCCCTGCCCCATCCTGACCTTGCCACGCCCCATCCACAGCCTAGTCCCGCCCCATCCACAGCCTAGCCCCGCCCCACTGTGACACTGATCTAGCCCCGCCCCATCCAGACCTATCCCGGCCCCATCCACTGCCTGGTCCCGCCCCATCCATGCCTAGCCCCGCCCCATCCCCACCTAGTCCCACTCTTGCCCCTCGACCTGCCCCATCCCGCACTGCAGGCCCCACCAGCACCTGGGAGAACCGGCCGCAGCCCAAAGGGGCCCTTGGTGGGGGAGATGCCTCTGACGATGCAGTCGAACAGGAAGCTGATCTGCTCACCCTCAGAGGAGGACAGGAAGAAGACACCAGCCCCTGCAAGGAAGACAGACGCTGCAGTGGACGGGTGCCGCAGGCTCAGAGGGTCGGGGGCAGGGTTGCTGGACGGGTGCCGCAGGGTCAGAGGGTCGGGGGCAGGAATGCTGGACGGGTGCCGCAGGCTCAGAGGGTGGGGGGCACGGGTTGGTGCAGGGACTGGAGGGGAGCATGGCCTGAGGGGACCCTGGTGTCCACCCCGGGGCACAGCCTGGCTCCTCAGGACCTCTGTACAAGGTGAGCCACTGTGCCTATGCAAACATCATGGCCCATGTGGCACCGGGGTCCAGCCTGGGGACATGAGGCCGACACCACAATACGTGGTAGCATGTCTTCCAGGCCTGGCTGTTCTGGCGTCTGGGTCTTCTCTGCGGATGGTCTGGGGGTCAGGAGGATGGCACCCAGGAGGAGGAGGCCTGACATCTCAGCTGCACGTCTCACCATCCCATTCCTTCCTGGAAGCCCATCCCCCCTCTGTCCCTGCTTCAGCTCGTTGGTGACCCCATTCACACCAGCATGGGGCATGGCCTGTCTTCAGCCGCCAGGGACAGACAGGCCTGGCTATTGCCCCACACGCTCATGTCCACCACGGGGAACCATCTGACCAGGAAGGAGCTGGGTACAAGGAACACCACTTCCACAGCCCCCATGCATGCCAGCTGGCCCCTGCCAGGGCCACTCCCAGTGACTCCAAGGGCACACCTGAGCTGGCCCGGAGGCTGTGCACGCTGTCACCTGCACTGTCTGTCAGCGTGTCCTGTGTGCTGGCAGCCTGTGCCAAATGCCAGCCAGCTCACCAATGATGGACAGGGCTCAATGGGACTTCCTGCCCAAGACAGACTAGGAAGCAGGACTGGTCAACCACCTCCAAATAGCAGGCCCTCGGACCGGAGTAACCGGGGACATTAGTCTATAGAACACGACCGTGAGCCTCTCGGGGAAGCACTCCCCACCGACTAGGAAGAGCTGTCCCCTCGAAATGACCACCTTCACGACAGGGAGCCCTGTGCTGCACCCCCAAAGGCCTGAGGTTCAAGTCCACTGGAGGATGCACACTCACCTCCGTGCAGTTTTCTGCCTCTGAAAACAGTGCTCGAGGGTCGGCTATGGGTCAGTTCTGACTCGACAGCACACAGCAAGGATGGAATGGAGCAATGCTTTCACCAGGTAAAGGACCTTTGTTGTTGTTATGTGCCATCAAGTCCTCACGACTCACAGCGACCCGATGTACAACAGCTCTGAACCCTGCTCTACCCTGAGCCGGTCTCACTGACTCCGACACTCCTTCTCCCAATACCCCCGCCACTGAGTCAATCCGTCTCATCCAGGGCCTTCCTCTCCTGCACTGTCCCTCCACCCTTGCAAGCATGATGTCCTTCTCCAAGGACTGATCCCTCCTTCTGGCCATGTGCCCAAGGAATGTGAGATAGAGCTTCAAGATCCTTGCCTCCAGGGAGCAGCCTGGTTTCACCCTCTCCAGGACAGATCTGTTTGTTCTGTCAGTCCATGTTCGATACTCTTCAGCAGCACAGCTCAAAGGCATTGATCCTTCTGTCATCCGTACTCATTGTCCAGCTCTCTGATGCATAGGAAGTATTTGAGAAGGCCATGGCCTGGATCAGGCGCACTTTAGTCTCTAGACTGACATCATTGCTCTTCAGCACTCTGGAGAGGTCCCTGGCAGCAGACTTCCACAATGCAATTCGTCTTTTCATTTCCTGACTGCTGGTGCCAAGAGTGTTGGTTGTGGATTTGCTGATTGCTGTTGTTGTGTGCAGCTCAGGGTGGGCGGAGCAGGGTGGGTGGTGTCGCACCCAGTAGTGCGCTGAATGCTGGAACAGAACAGGCTCTGCAGCACCTCGAAGCTGCAGCTGCCTCCGGGAGTGGACCATCGCCCTCACCCCCTGAGGACAGTGGTGGAAGCAGCTGCCCCTCCAGCAGCAGCCAGGCGCTTTAAGCACGGCGCCACGGGGCCCTTTCTCTGGCTTAGGTTAAATGCGGGTGTCCGGCCCATCCACCCCTTCCTCGGGCCTCTTTCCTGCTGGGTGTCTGCTGGGAGCTGCCCTGGCAGCAGGTCCTGGCCGTGGACATACTGGTGTGTCCCTGCAGCCTGGCTGGCTGCGCCCACCCAGCCACAAAAGGAAGTTAACAGAGGGGCCCAGCGGGCAGGCCGGGTGAGTCACTGGAGGCCCGCGTGCCCAGGCGCCCGGCTGTCGGTCCCCTGCTGGGCAGCCGCTTTGCCAGGTGAATGAAGTCCTCGTGAATGGGCCCTGGGCCCCGCCTGCTGAGCGGACCTCATGGGACTGGATGATGGGCCGGGTCACTGCCCGGTGCCCTTCCTACCCACAGCTGCTGCCCAGAGGAAGGCTGGCCGCGGAGGGAGGCCGGGTTGGCACAGCTGGGGCAGGCAGTGGTGGGGCGGGGCAAGCAGGCTGGCTGCATTGGCTGTGGGGTCCCACGGCCTCCTTGGAGCTTGAGGCGAAGTCCCCGGGGACTGGGCCGCCTCAGCATTGGGCCCAGTGTGACCACTTCCCAAAGCCCACTGCCCTCCAGCCGGCTCCCGGGACACATGCTGCCCTCTGGGATCGGGGCTGTGACTTACAGGAACCACTGTCCCACTGTCCCCACAGAGAAAGATTCAGGGCTCAGTCCACTGCACTATCAGGACTCCCACATCACAAAGCCCAAAGGAAAAGCGCTGGACGCACAGCCACCCTGCAGGACGGACAGCCACCCTGGAGGATGCACAGCCACTCTGCAGGACAAACAGCCACCCTGCAGGATGCACAGCCACCCTGCAGGACGGACAGCCACCCTGGAGGATGCACAGCCACTCTGCAGGACAAACAGCCACCCTGCAGGATGCACAGCCACCCTGCAGGACAGACCCCTGGCCACGGTCCTCACGCCTCTTGAAGCTCGCGCTTCATCTCTCCCCATCACAGGGTTCATTCTGCTGCCCTTTCTGTCAGCAGCCGGCCACTTGGCCAGTGCACCACCAGGGTCCCCTAACTCTGCCTCAGAGCTGACCCCGGACTCTGGCTGTGCTGACAGGGAGTAACAGGCGGGTGGAGACCAGAGCCTGCCTGCGTCCACCGGATGACACCACCATGTCCTCTTGGGGAGCCCCTCTGAGCCATGCGGACTGATGAGAACACCGCCCCCCAACCCTGGCTCAGGGCAGGCAGAAGCTGCCCGTGTGGTCCAGCCATTGTCTGCTGGCCGCCCTTTGGCCGTGTCCCTCAGTCCCTCGCTGTCCTCCTCTCTGCCCCACCCCGTGAAGGGCTCAGCTGGCCCCCATTCTCACAGAAGGCCAGGCTTCTAATCCCAAGCTTACGGCAGCTGGCAGGGGCCAGGGACAATCAGTCCCTTGCCTATAAAAAACCCATTACCACAGGGAGAGGAGCCGGCCAGCATTCCACAGGGCGTCTGCGGCCAGCCACACTCAGGGACACGGCGCTGGCCGCGGCCTGTGCGGGGAACGAGCCTGTCCCCGGAATGTGTGTCAGCAGGGCCCTGCCAGGAAGCTCCGTGCTGATGTAAGGTGGCAGCTATGTGACGAGGGCATTACCCCGCGACGCCGTCCGATGTGCTCGGCCCATCGGCTGTAAGGACACGGGGACCGAGCGGATGCAGCCCTTTACTCAGGCCGCAGCCCTGACCCAGGGACTTCCCTGGCTTGTGGCCAGCAGCCGCTTTTGTCTTTACACGAAATAAATGCAGAGGCTGAGAGAGAAGAGGTGAGCAGGGTGCAGCCGTTGGGCCTGGGGTCCCTCCTGGGCACTGAGAACTCCTGGAAGGAGACGGCCTACCCCCGGGAGCCGGCACCCTGGATTCAGACACAACCCTGAACTGTGAGAGCAGACCTTTCTGTCGAACCCTCCACCTTGTGGTGTGTGTCATAGCAGCACTAGAGAGCACAGTCAGGCCTGAGCCCAGGCCTCTGGGCCACACTGGACCCCCTAATGGCCCCCAGCAGCCGTCCAGTCAGAGCCCACGTCTCAGCAGACCGATCTGCCTTGGACGTGGCCTCCCAGGCACGGCTCAGCTGCCCCTCTCGGTCCCCGCCCTGTGGTCACCGCTCTCAGCAGCCCCTTCCCGCTCCGGCTTTCTCTCCAGGTACACCTGGCCCACGAGGTCTGGCCCGCCTGCCTTGGTCTTCCTTAACCTCCTGCAGACACCCCGTCATCTCTCCAGATTTTCGGAGCCCTCACAGACACCTTCTCACTGCCCTGGTACCTGGTCGGGGTCACTCATGACTCCCGAGTCCCCCAGGGCCCGACACCTGGTGCCCCTCAGTGTTTGCTGTTGTTGAGAGGGGCACAAGGAGCACGCTGGTCACCTCACCCCTCCAAGGAAGTGTCCTCTGGACTGTTTACAGGGCAGGGGGGGGGGTGGTGTCTGTGCTGGTTTATGACTTAGCATGTGTGGGTCACTATCACCGTACCGCTGCTGGCCCGTGGCCCTCAACCCCAGAAGCTGCCTCTGTGGGGCTGGCCTAGGTCCACAAGATGGGTGATTGGGCAGTTCTGGACCAAGCCCCTGAGGGGCCTGATCACCTCTGGTCCCCAGCTACCACGTCAAGAGGCCCAGCTTTCCTGCGCGAGGCTGTGTAGAGAGCTGAGGGTGCCCAGCCAACAGCAGGTCATGGTGAGACCACACGGCCTTCCAGCCAAACACCACCGGCCGAGCATGGCCAACTGCCACCACGTGGAGCAGACAGGTCCCTGCTGGGCCCAGACCGCTGGCCCTCAGGGCTACCATAACACTGCTGAGCTGTGGGGGTGACTGCTACATTTTGCTTTGTTAAAGAAGGCTGAGTCAAGGCTCAGTGGAGCAGAGTTAAGCACTGAGCGGCTGACATCCACCACAGCTGGACAAGAGAGAAGGCCGTCAGCTTCTGTTCAGATGCACAGCCTAGGGGGCCCGGAGACGGTCCTGAAGGGTCACTATGGGTCAGGACCAGCCCAGCCACAGTGAGTGTTGAGGCCCAGAGCACGGGTTTTTTTGCAAGCACGGACCCAGGTCAGTACCCTGTACGCTCGGCCACACTCCTCTCAGCATCCATCACTGGGCACCGAAACCGAGGTCCGACGAGGTCGAGGGACTGGGCCAGAAGCTGCAGTCACACGGTGGTCAGCAGGGAATGATGCTCTGGGGGAGAGGACCCATGTCCAGTGCTGTCAGACTGTCCCTCTCAGGCAGGTTCCCTGCTCTGAACACCCGCTCCCAGGTCACCTGGGAGGAAGCCGGAGGCTGAGAATGAGCTGGAAAGTTCCAGATCCTTCCATCGATGGCCCTGCGCAATCTCCCTGCCCCATTCTGAGGTCTGGCACCCACGTGATGTCATCAGGCTGAGACTTGGAGGAGGGACAGCGACCACAGCCACTTGGTCCTCACTCCGTCGTCGGCCAGCTGCATCCTCAGCCCTCAACCTCTGACCACCCCCCCCTACGCCGTCTCCCACCGGGTACACCTGGCCCGGGAGGCCGGGACATCTCCGTGGACCCTCGGGCGTCCAGCCCCAGTAAGCACACAGCGATGCTGAGGACAGGCCCACAGGAGTTCCACCTCCTGGTTCCCACCCCAGACTGGACCCCCAGGCCACTTCAGGGCGCAAATGCCAGAGTGAACCCAGGGCTGTGCACAAGCCGCAGAGGGCAGGAGCCACAGGGGCGGGCAAACCAGCGGCCCCACGTCCTAATCCACACAAACCAGGCCCTCCCTCCCCTGGGGCTTGATCCTGGGTCCCTGTGTGGGCATTCCAGACAGCTCGACACTGCACTCAGCGCTGCTGGGAACAGATGTCACCTGAGTGAAGCACAGAGCGCAGAGGGGCTGACCCCACCCCTGGGGACTGGTGTGTCCGCAGCGCCGAGGTGGCCTTGTCACTGCACTGCGGGAGTCACAGGCCCACTTCACCAGCAGCCGGCTCACCAGCGCCCCTGGCCCTGGCGTCCGGCCCGGCTCCTTTGACAAGTGGAGGGCTTTTTGTTGATGTAAGAATCCAGCCGTCCAGTCTGCTGGCGGTGACCCAGTGTAAGAGACACTGCCCCGCCTTACGCCGTCCTCCCCATTCTGACACCCCTGAGCCCTCAGCCACCGGCCACCCAGCCTTGGTGAGGGCTCCCCCCACTGTCCAGCCCCCACCTTTCTATCTCCAGGGACTGGTCCTCCTGAAGATGTGCTCCGAGCACCTGAGGTGAGGTCTCCTGTCCTCACTTTTAAGGCCACTCTGGCTCCAGGACCGGCATGTCTGTCCCTCCAGAAGTGTCCTGCACCACAGTGCAAACCAGCTCTTCAGTCTCCTAACTCATTGTCCAACTTGCACGTTGTTGTTGTTGTTGTGTACCGCTGAGGCGGAGGTGACTCATAGCTGACCCTCTGGTGGGTTTTCAGAGGCAGCTAATCTCATGGGAGGAGATTGTCATGAGGCCACTAGAGCTCCCTAGCACGCCTTCCACGGGTATAGGAGGCCTTGGAAATACCACGGTTTCAGTGAGGGGGACCGTCTTTAAGCCTGTGTCCTTGCTCTTGGGCACTTCGGCACCCGCGTCCCCTGTGCCTCCCGTCTGGATTTCTGGATTGCTGCTTCCAGGAGCACTGCGAGGGGGTGCAAGCAAGCTCACCCCTGGGCAGCTCCCCACATGATGCCCACAGCTTGGCACTGAGGTCTTGGCTCTCTTTAGGTTGAAGGATTGGCCCTTGTCTCCCACCATCTGCATGGAGGCACAGGATTGCTGACTGCAGAAGGCCCACCTGCACCCTATCATGGAGCAGAGCTTTAAGCTCCGGACCTCAGAGGAAAAGTGCCCGGCGGCCTCGTGACATTGCGTGCTTGATGAAACATGCAGGGCTCCCCAACACAAGACTGCACCCTGGCTCAGAGCACCACGGGTTTGTACCCCAGTTCTTCACAGAGGCTTGGAGGACCTTCTGAAAATCAGTGAGCAACCCAGTGTCCACCCAAGCTTTTCCCCTCGAGGGGCATGCAGACGGGGGACCACTGCCCCTGGCCACCGAGTCCATAAACCGGCACCGCCACGTGCCCATCGGCACCAGTGTCTGTGTCACCAGCAGTCCAAGAGGGGGACAGACAGAGCTGGGTCGATCCCTGAGCCCAGCCCTGGGCAGGCTGCTGGCCAGCTGCCCCAGGTTCCCTCTGGAAGGTGCAGATGGCCTACACTTAGTGTCCAAAGCTGTGTGAGTTGAACCCATCCAGAGTTGCCCAGGAGGAAAGGCCTGGTGATCAATGCTTCCCTGAGACCCTGGGGTACAGAACTGCTGTGTCAGACAGGGCCTCCGGGCTCACTCCAGCACAAAGCAAGATGGACAGCGAGCGAGGAAGGGTCAAGGGCTGGTCTGGAAGACAGGAGGCTGACCAGGGTGCCGTCGCCACCTGCAGCCCCCTGGCCGGCCCCTGGCCCCTGGCCCAGGCATGTCAGCAGCGTGCCCATCCTCAGACCTGCTCAGAGACCCCAGAGCAGCCGGAATCCACCTGAGCCCAGTGCCCACACCTCCCGGCTCCTGAGCTGGTCTCCGTCGCTCCGTCCACCCACCCTCAGCACTCCGGCCACTGGAATAGTACAGGACTCAGAGTCAGCACGCACGGGGTCGCCCTCCAGGCTCAGCTACTTGCAACCCTGGGTGCCAATGTGGCTAATCTTCAGGGTTCAGTCTGTGCCCATGGACTGGCCAGACCAGGCTGACCCCCAGCCCCAGGCCCCCAGCTCCCTGTGTCTGCACCCGACGGCAGGACGCAGTCCCAGGTGGTGAACAGGCACCCTCAGCCCAGACCTCTGAGCGGGCCAGACGCCCATCTCCACCACAGCTGAGTCCTCACCTGCCACCCACCAGGCAAGACCACAGGACCTGCCACGGAGCCTGCTCCAGCCCCAGCCAGCTTGTGGTCCAGCATGCCCACCTCCCCTTCCCTGAGACCTCCTGGCCCCTGGAATCTAGGCCACACAGCCCCCATTACTGTCCCTCTCTGAGCTGAGGGTGTCAGCCATCAGTGCAGGGGTTCTGGGCTCACTGGAGACCAGAGTACTTGTGCGTCCCTTCTCCGCCCTGCCGACCTCACTGACCAGCTCCCGCACTGCCCAGTCCCCATGCTGCCCACTGCAGTGTCCACACGCCACACCTGGAGGCGACTCAGACCTGGGGCAGCAGCATGGAACATACAGGGGGCTCTGCACCTTCCCCCAGACCACAGGACGCCTGCTGGGCTCACCTGCACCCACAGGCTATGCCTGCAAGGGACCCAGACACAGCCCCCCATCCAGCGGCGGCCAACGTCACCCCGCACTGCCCCGGCTGGACCCCGCACTGCTCCACGGGGGCTGCATGTCCCACGATGTCACTGACACACGTGAAGTCCCACCTCAAGCGTTCTGTCCTCTGGACACTCACCTCAAGGGGACGCTCCCTGTGCTCCCTTCAACAGCCCACCCCTGGCCAGAGGGGAGGCTCTGTGTGCGTCGAGGGACCCCTCCTCCCAGCTCAGCAGCTGCAGCTGGCCAAGGACCCCCAGTCTGAGCTAAGGGGTGATGGGCGTGTCTATGGGATACACATGCTGGCAGTGACCCCCGATGTCCACTTAAGCCACGTCAGAGTGAGCGTGGCCTGTGGAAGACGTGGCCTGTCCATCTCCTTCCCTAAACCCAAGTGCGGCGGGTTTGAGGCTCTGGCTCGGCTGTCGCAGGAAACGGGATGCGACCTGTCTAGACTCCTATCTGCCTTCCGGCTGAGCTGGGATGAGCAGAGAGGACTGGACCCCAGAGCTGGGTTACACACCTGTCCACAGAGTGATGGTGGGAAACTGAGGCAGCAGGGCCACAGGGCACTCTGTGCACACACGTGGGGCCAGGGGGCCAGAGCCGAGGGGTCCTGGGGACTCAGGCTGACAACAGGCTCTCTGGGGTCAGAAGGGGTGGGAGGGGACCCAGCGTACTTACAGTACCCACACCTCGTCCCGCCTTCGAAGATGAACCCATTGGGCACTGCCCCGTAGCGCCGCAGGTCTGACAGCTTCCACTGGCCGGTGACAGCCGGAGGGATGTCCCTGGCCACCACCAAGATGTCATTGCAAAGGTGAAGCGTGGCAGGGCCACTCTGGAGCTTCGTGCCTGGGGCCACTGTCACGTGGAACCGGTGCACTGGGGGCGGGTGGGGGACAGAGTGAAAGGGTCTCAGCACCCACACACAGCTACCATGGGGGCTGACCCTGAGAGCGGACACCAGGCAGCCCCACCAGTTAAAGACCGCCTTTCTGATTCATGGGGTCGGGCCAGGAAGTAGAGGCTCCTCACCCCTATTCCCGTGGCCGCGTGGGAGCCGCTGGCCCCTGACTCACCCCCCCTGAGTTGGGTGACCCCCTCACTCCATCCTCCTGCCCGGGGTCCCCGCCCCACTCGCCCACCCTTCCTGGGCCCAGGCGCCCTCACTCACCCTCCCCGAGCGCATAGCGGATGCGGGCGTCCCAGGCACACATGGCCTCACGGGTCTCAAAGCCCAGCATGACAGCCTGGGAGCGGCAGACGATGGCCAGCGTGTGTACCAGGCCCTCGTAGGGCAGCCCCGGCTCCAGGCCACAGATGTCCTCCAGGGTCAGGCTGCTACGCTCCCGCAGGCCCCTGGTGCGCTCCGTCCGGTCCTTGTAGACCAGCATCAGCAGGCAATCTGCAGGGACGGTGGGGTCAGGCCTGGAAGAGGCCACGCTGGGGACCCAGGCTGGACCCAGTCGGTGTGTCCAGCATGAGAACAGACAACAGCCGACCAAGACAAGCCAGACCTGGATCCCTCCCTCCGGCCACATGGGGCCCAAGAACTGTGGTGAAAGTCGGGTCCCACTGAGGGCCTGCCTGCTGCCTAGGCCTTCCCATCCGGGGGCCTGCCCTGGGTCCCTTCCCACCACGAGACCCTTCCCCTCCTACTTCCTATTAGCATGAGGAGCTGGGTCTTGGGGTCCTCACCGGCAGATTCTGACCCAAGAGGTCCCTCCTTGTCCCCACCATCAGCCCCCTTAACCAGCTTCCCACCACGGAGGACCCTCTGGGGCTGCCTGGACCCCTGCTGCCTTTGTCTCCATTTTCCCTCCCCAGCCTGGAGCCCTGCACACAACACATGGCCCATCGGGGTGACTCAAGGACAGACAGACGGAGAAGAAAGTGCCTGAGCCCCGTGCAGAAGGGGACACAGGCCCTGACACAGGGTGCTCCCTGAGCCCAACCCAGCTGGCCCCACAGTCGTCGAGCTGGGACACTCAGTCCCATTTTGTATGGTGCTTGGTGGTGCTTGGCATAAACCATGTGGCTGCCAGGCAGAAGCTTGGTGGTTCAAGCCCCCCAGCGTCCCCATGAGAGGAAGGTGAGGCAGGGATCCCTCAGAAGCCCAGCAGGCAGTGACACTGTCCTTTCAGAGTCCTCAGGATGGAAGAGGACATGGGGCAGGGTGAGGGGCTTCTGTGTTATGGCCGCACCAGGAGACAACTGTCTTCAAATGGGTTCCTGACCCTCAGTTACGTGCCTGCGTCAACAGATCACCATGTCACCTCCTCACATCTGTGCTGGCTGGGCGCTGCCTGCCCAGGCCACCCGCCACCATGCATGTCCTCTCCTGGTGACCACTGCCCAGCAGGATCTCCTCCTGACAGGCAGGGGCACCAGACCCCCCCAGCGGGCAGGCCCTTCCCCCCTGGGGGTCGGGTCCCCTCTCTGCAGCTGCTTTTAGGAACAGGACCCTCAGTTCTACTGTGACACCATCATCCCCCAAACCTGCCCACCCTGGGGCCACATGACCCTCCTCCTGGTCTATGAAACCCACTTGTGCGTGGCGCTCTCGTGAGCAGCTGTGTGGTCAGCACTGTGTGGTCAGTACTGTGTGGTGAGCGGCTGCGTGGTGAGCGGCCGTGTGGTCAGCACCGTGTGGTCAGTGCCATGTGGTCAGCAGCTGTGTAAGGTGCAGCGTTGGTCTCTCCGTGTCTGGGACAAAGACGCGGAAGAGAATGAAGGTGCGTGGAAACCATTAGTCCACAGCACCAAGAGACTGGCCACCTCGGTTTCATGGCCCCGAGGCCAGACAGCTAGATGGCCCTTGGCCACTGCTGCTGACCACCCTGGGAGGGGTCACAGTGGAAGGTCCTGGAAAGCGGGAGGACCAAAGCCTAAGTCAGGTTTGTGGCTTTGCTAGGAGCTAGTGGGACCCCAGAGATGACAGGCCCTTGTCGCCCATGAGCCTAGAACCGAGCCCTCCCCAGGACATGCCTTTCAGCTACACTGTAACTGGACAGGGCTGTACGGTGATAACACCAGGGAGGAACGGGCTCCGCAGGGCACCTGACCCCATGAGATCACAGGGGCAGCATTTATCCAAGAGAAATTTTGGACAGCAGGGGGATGAGTGGGCATGAGAACCACAGGGAGGGAGTGGGAAGAGTCATGCTCCAAGGGCTTGTAATCGCTGTGCTGAAACAGCTTTTGAAGGACGCACCAATCTTCTCTGTAAACATCCGCTAAAACCCAAACCCAGCCCTCACAGGACAACCCAAAGCAGAGGCCCTGCTGTCGAGTAAGCTCTGACGTGGGGGGACCCTCCACGGGGTTCCCAAGGTCGTAAATCTTAACAAGGGCAGACGCCCTATCTTTCTACTGGTTGACTTGAAGCGTTGGCCCGGTCAGCAGTGCAGCACGTCACACACTGCATCACCAGGGCTCCTTACAGGGAGGCGAGGAAGCGTGAAAGGCTTGAGACCCTGCTGCAGGCCCTCCTCATGTGACTCCTCCAACCTGGGCTCTCCTCTGGCCTTTAACCCCCCTGGACAGCCCCGCCTATGTGTCCAGCCACACTGCTCTCCTGATCATGACAGCAGAGCAGGACTCCCCTCCTCTGTCCCAGGAGTGGTGGCCCCGGGGACACAGCCTCGAGTACCAGTCAGTGTGAAGCTAAATCTCCTCACTCTGTGAGGCATGTGCTCTCTGTTCCAAGCACTGAGCTGGAAAGCAGCCACAGACAATGAGTAACTGAGTAATGAATGTCATGGCTGTGTTCCAATAAAACTTTATTTACAAAAATAGCTCGAGGGCCAGATTTGGCTCACAGGCCACAATGGGCAGCTATTAGTGGTCTAAAGGCACATTTTTTAACAACAGACAGAGGCCCCTACTCCCCCCACAGTATCCCCCCACCATTCCCCATCTTGTCTTTTAAAATATGATAAAAATGATAATGTGAGATCGAGAGTGCACCTGCCCAGCTCTCTGTGCACCTGCCACCTGCCTGCCCAGAATTACTCTCTCACGGTTTAGGAGCAAGATGCTGCACTGCAATCTTAAAGGCATGTGGTTCGAATCCACCAGCTGCTCCATAGGAGAAAGATGGACAATCTCCTCCCCTGTGATTTGCAGCCTCTGAAAACCCACTGGACTGTCAGCTACGGTCAACTCTGACTCGATGGCACACGACATCTGAGGAAAGGGTTCTGGGGTGGAATAGCTGACAGCCCCATATCAGCACCACCAGCAAGGAGCCCCACACCCGGGGGAACGGCTCAGCTCAGCCTTGGACCCCACATTCCCAGTCACCAGCAGCCAGCGGTGGGTACAGGCCACGGGCCAGCTCGAGGCAGCCACAGCCTGCATGGAACGCAGCCATTGCACTCTGACTCACATGGACTCATAGTAAGTCAGAATTGACCCCAAAAAGGAACAGCTGAACCGAGCCCCAGACCAGCACCCCAGGGGGACAGCTGAACCGAGCCCCAGACCAGCACCCCAGGGGGACAGCTGAACCGAGCCCCAGACCAGCACCCCAGGGGCACAGCTAGAGAAAGAGCGAGCAGAAAGCCCAGAGGTGCCACACGTCTGGGCCTGCGTGAGAGGCACGGTCCTGGGGACTTGGGGTTGGATCTGGCTGAGATGGGCAAAGATTTGTGTTCGCCTCATTGTCCGAGAGGCCCCAGGGGCCTGCAGGAGGCAGAGGCGGCCTGGGTCGGTGGTCTTAGCCCATTTGTCCTCTGCATGGACCATGGATGTGAGGTGAGGGTGGGCGTGTCAGGGGGGCCTGCAATGAGTGAGCTGGGCTGGACAGAAGAAAGGCATGGTGCTGCCTGGTAGTAACCATGGCAACAGAAGGGACGCTCCAGCCCCAGTGGTCACTCATTATGCCCTATCGTTGCTCTCAGGCATAGGAGGACCCAGCTTCTTAGACCAGGGAGTGGGAACAAGGGAGAAACGGTGATTCCCTGCACTCAAGGGGGCAGTGGGCAGGAGTGTCTGACAGGTCTCCACCTCGCTAATGTTCCTGGAGGGTGAGAGATGCCAGGGGGTAGGGCCAGCTCAGCCCTGACAACCCAGTGCTAGTCGGGCAGCTGGGTCTGGCCTGGGAGGAGAGCAAGTTAATGTTCACCAGGGCAGGAAGGCTGACGCTGGGCTGGGGGCTGGCTGGTGGGGTGTGGGCGAGGTGGAGTGCTAGTGAGAGAGGGGCCCTGGCCAGTGGAGGAGACGGAGATGCCGCAGAGATGGAGGGGTCACCGCTGGGCAGGGAGGACCAAGAAGGAGTGCGGACGCCTCGCTGCATGCCACTGGGGGTGCGTAACCCGAGGCCAGGATCAGTGACTGGACTTAGCACCGGAGGTCATGGGTGACCTTGAGGCCAGTGGCAGCCAGCCTAATGGACAGCCTGAGGGTGCAGTGGCCAGGGCAAGCAGTGGAACCCACTGACCCAGGTCAGCATGACTGTGCATCCTCAGGCCAAGACTGAGGCCAGGAGAGGGCCCACAGGCCTCCCACCTGAATCATGACTTGCTGGCCTCTGAAGTGATTGAATTCACAGCACCGTCCACGTCCTGGAGGAAGCATCAGCCTCCCCGGTAGTGAACACCACCTGTCCTCGGGAGGGAGCACCACCCACCCTGTGAGGGAGCATCACTCACCCCCCGAGGAAGGATTGACTGTCCCAAGAAGGAGCACCACCTGCCCGAGCGAGAGCAGCCACTTGCTGCAGAGAAAGCACTGCCTACCCTGTGAGAAAATGTAATCCAGCCTGGGAGGGAGCACTAACCTCCCCGTGTGGGACCATTTACTGTCCCGTGAGGGAGCACACCTGCCCTGTGTGGGAGCACTACCCGCCCCGTGAGGGAGAACTGACTGCCCTGGGACAGAGCACTAAACCCCCCAGGAGGGACCAATGACCACCACCCTGTGAGGGAGCACAGCCTGCCCCATGAGGGAACACTGCCCTCCCTGGAAGGGAGCACTGTCCACCCTAGAAGGGAGCATTGACTTTCCTCTGAGGGAGCACTGACCACCCTGAGAGGGAGCACAGCCACCTTGGGAGGGAGCACTAGCCAGCCTGGGAGGGAGCACTGACAGCCCTGGGAGGGAGCACTGACCGCCCTGGGAGGGAGCATTGACCAGCCTGGGAGGGAGCATTGACCGCCCTGGGAGGGAGCACAGCCACCTTGGGAGGGAGCACTGACTGCCCTGGGAGGGAGCACAGCCACCTTGGGAGGGAGCACTGACCACCCTGGGAGGGAGCATTGACCGCCCTGGGAGGGAGCATAGCCACCTTGGGAGGGAGCACTGACCGCCCTGGGAGGGAGCATGGTGTGCCCTGAGCAGTCTGGTCCCAGAAGGGAGCATGGTCTAGTGTGGCCAGGGCGATGAGACAGACGTGTTTCCGCCCCAGAGCACAAATATCATCAGTGACCCACAGAGGAGGCAGCAGCCCTCCACACAGCATGTCCAGCCCAGGACAGTGGGATAGGTCAGGGGTCAGGGCCCAGGCCACCCACCTCTCTCCATCCTCTCTGGAGCTGCCATCAGTCTCTTGCCTGATTAAGGTAGGTGCTCATGGGGGTGAAGTGCTCCCCCAGGTCTCATGGTCCCGGCAGCAGAGGTCTGAACCCTGAGCTCTCTCTGTCAGCCCCTCTCACGAGGGGAGCTGTCCACCTCACACCCTGTCACCATGAGCAGTGCCACTGAGCAGCTGGACAAACAGCGTATGAGTGGTCAGCCCCCCTCTCCTCAGGGAGGGAGCAGCAGTGCCCAGCACCCACGTCAGGAGACCGCTCTGGAAGGTCCTCCATCTGCCGGACCCCATCTTCTGGAACACATTTACTGATCTTGTCCCCCAACCCTCCTGTCCTGAACCCCACGCTCCTGACCTCATCCTTCTGAACCCTACCCTCCTGACCCCATCTCCCTGACCATGCCCTCCTGACCCCATCCACCTGAACCCCTCCTTCCTGAAGCCTGGCCCCTAGAAGCAGGGCTACTGGTATATGCTGAGTGCCAGGAGCCCAGCGGGACCCCTGCCCAAGACTTGCCCCTGTGGGCAGTCACAGTGACCATGAGCACACGGAGAAGGCCCAGCCCTCATCGACAGCCTGGGTACGATGCTGACCTGAAGCCACCTGCCCTGTAGGGACACCAAGATGGGGCACAAAGACCCTCACCAAGTGGCTAAGAGGGTGCCGAGGGTCACTGCCTGCCTGCCCACCCGGCACGGCCTTCCACCCATGCTCCCCAGCCACCCAGATACGTCTAAGACCCAATAGATACTGACCATTGCCAAGGTCACTTCCAAGCTCAGATTCCCAACTCTCAGAACTATCCCCAGCACAGAACCCTGTACCCTCTGTCGTCCCCCCCCCCAGGGATGAAGCTGACCCCACTGGCTCTCCCCTCCACAGTGACAGCACCATCCAAGGCCCTGCTCCTCCAGCTCTCTGTGGGAGGACGGAGGCCACGCCATGGGGCACTTCTCTTCTCGGGTGGTCCTGTTCAGATTCCAGCTCGCCACGGTCCCCAGCCCACACCTGACCAAAGCCTGCCAGCCTTGGGCTCCTGTCCCTGCCCTGAATGCCTGCTACCCATGCCCTACCCCTCTCAACCAGGCCTCTGTCAGAACCCTACGGCCAGAAATCCCCTCAGGAAGGACAGATGCCCCTGGAACGGCCTGCGGCAGAGCCCGGGCCCCTGGGAGTGGAGCCCAGACAGCAGTTACTTCATATAGGGTCAGGTACCGGCTTTCCAGAGCCCTCCGAGGTGCCCAGGATGGACCCCGGCAGGGGTACCAGGTGGCACACCCCTGCCCTCTCCAGGAAGCCCGGACGCCCCGGCTTCCGGGGGCCACACTTGCAGCCCTGTCTGTGAGGCCAAGCATTCACCCTCAACGTCCCCCCACAGCTGGCCGCCTCCAGGGCACCTGTCCCCTTAAACAACTGTGGCCAAGCTCACAGCCCATCCCCCTGGCTTCTGGGGATGAAGATGAGGCTCAGGGCTCCCTGCTTTTGGTCAGGGGCTGCAGGCACCGCTGGGGGGTAGCTGGGGGGCATTACTGTCTTCCAGAGGCTGCACACCCTAAAAAGTACAGATTTTCCTTTTCTCAGAATCAACCACCACAGGGGTGCCCAGCCTCCCTTACCTGGAGGGGAGGAGGGGACCACCAGGGTCAGCACAGGGCTGGACTCTTGGATTTGGGGGCACCTGCTCAGCGTGCCCTCGCCCACAAACAGTCCCCTACAGTAGCCCCACCGAGCTGACTTTCTGTGGGGGAGGGGGAGGTTACCCCCCACTCCCAGCAACCCCATTCCCCGCCGCGGCTGTCCAATCCGGACCTCAGCCCACGCTTCTGTCCGGGGTCCTGGGTTCAGCGCTGGGCACACGGGACGCGGGGGGGACGCTCCGTCCCGGACTCCCCTGCAGGCGCCAGGCCGGGCTGTGCTCTCCGGTTACGGCCCCGCGGGGCTCGGTTACAGCACCCGCTGGCCCAGCTATTTCGGGTGAGCTGACCGCTCGGGCCCAGCTGCCTGAAGCAGCCGCCGAGCGCCCCACAGCCCGAGCTGGGGTCCCTGCACCTCCGGAAACCCGCGCCCCCACGCGCCTCGCGGCTCCCACTCCCCGAGCCCCCCACTCCTCCGTGCGTGCCTGCGTCCACTCCGCCCTCTGCGCACCCTGCGCCCCACGAGACCCCGCGTCCCGGGATCCCCGGCCGCACCCCGCGCGCCCCCTCACCTGCCACTGGAGACGGCTTGCGCAGCACCAGCCACCTAGTCTTCCACTGTGGGGACAGAGCGAGGTGAGCGCCGCCCGCGGCCCGCCCCCCGCCGCCCGCCGCGCACCCCGACCTTCTTGCTGTCTCGCAGCTTGACCTGGCCCTCCACCAGCGCCGCCTCGGTCATCTTCGGTCATGGTGCCGCCGGCCCGCACCCTCTGCCCGCCGCCGCGCCGCCGCGGGTCACGGTCAAAATAGCTCGGCCGGGGCGGGCGGAGGGCGGGCCGGCGGGCGGGCCCGGGGCGGACGCGGGGACCTGAGCTGTCCCCAGGCCTGAGGACGCGGAGGGCGGGGCGCCCTGGGGCTTGAGGGGCGAGGGCATCTTCCCAGGGGCCCTGTCCACTGCCAGGACGAGAGGGGGTCTCAAGAAACGATGGTGTCAGGGGACAGTCCAAGTCTTCCCACTGGTACCGTGTCCCTGCACTAGGGATTCCTGGTGGGGGCTCCCATACACCCCTGAGATCTCATGCCCCCACCTCCTACTCTCCCATCCTACCCCCCCCCCCTTGACAGACTTCCCACAAACTCCCCCCCACGACTTCCTGGGGGACCCCTGGCTCTCCTCTACTCCCCACTTCCTCCCACCCACCCACCCCCATCTCCCATCCCTAGCTCTGATACACGCCCTCAGCCTCTGCTTCCTCCCACTCCCACTAATGCCCACCTCCCGACTTCCAGGTCTCCCAGGCCCAGCATGAGTGTCCAGTTCTCTGGGGTCACCCTGGCCCCGCCGCTGACCCCACCAGGGTTTCCCATAACTTGGGGAGAGGTGCTGACTTTTCCAAATGTACAGGTCACCACCAGCAGAGAGAGGGCGCTGCTGTGCAGTTTTCAGCCCTGGGGGTTTTCTCAGTCCACCCAGGTGTGGCCAGGCCAAGCCTGACAAGGTTATGTCTGTGGCCAGCACGGCACCCAGTACAGGTGGGAATAGAGCGTGTGGCCCCCGGGGCCATGGAGGCCTGCGTGGTGTCCTCGTCAGTCCTCATCTTCCCGCTCTCCACTGCTGAAATCGGCCAAGGCTGGCCTGGCCAGAGGGGGGCATGAGGGCAGTATGGGCTGGTCAGCCCTGTGGCCCCCCTTCAGCCGACCCTAAGGACTGGGAGAGCCTCCGAGACAAGCCGGGTGCTTCTGGAGGTCACGTGCCTAGAGCATGTCTGTTCCCAGGACAGTCCCCACACTGAAAGGACATCACCCACCCACATAGGAGTGTCTACAGTCTCAGAGGGTTGGCATGGTGGGGACAGAACTACAATGTGTATCGTGGGGGGGGGGGCCATGGCCTGCCCAGGGCCCGACCTCCAGGACCAGGGTCTGCAGTCCCCTGCCAGGGCTGGTGGTGATGGAGTGGGTGGTGGGTCTCTACCTAGACCATCCTGGGGGTACTGTTTGCTTCTGACGGCTGTTTGGAAGCCCCTCTGTGTGGTCTTGGCTAAGCCTGGTTCAGGCTGCCTGGGCACCTGGCCTGGCCAGATAGTTGGGGCAGTAGGACAGAGGCCTCTGCCACGGCCTGAAGCTCTAAGCTGTCTCTGCCTAGTGTCCCCTTCCAGGTCACAGTGGGGCTCAGGCTGATGAGGGTCCTGCTGGGCCCAGCACAGAGAATGGCCATGCTGGGGCCCCGGAAGTGCCCTGACGGTCTCTGCCCCCCTCCTGGTCACCTGTGCAGTCGCTGGCCGCCTGCCACACAGCAGTTGCTGCCACATTCAGCTGCCCACACACTGGAGGCCCTCGGGGGCGGACCCAGAACAGCCGGCGAGGAGGCGGATGGCGGCTGGAGCCGTGGTGACTGCTACATCCGCCGGCCCGGGCGCCTGGCGCTGGGCCGAGGAGCCGGGAGGGGCCGAGCCCTGCCACGTTCCCCAGCGCTGGCCCGGGTCCAGCTCCTGCCACGCCCGACTGCACCTGTTTCCTCACTGTCCCCCAAGCACGCGAGTGAGGATGGCCACCTCCCCCCACCCGCCATGTGGCCTGGGGACTGCAGCCAGAGGGGGGAGAGGCCTCCTGCCAAGAGACGGCTGGGTGCCCACTCACACTTGGCCAGGAACACGCTCTTGACCTCTGATGGCTCCTGCCGCACGGTACCTCAATTTCCCTGGCCATCTTGTCATAGCCAGGAGTGCTGGCCCCCACTGCTGTAGTCACTGTATCAGCCCATCTGTGTGGGGACCTCCCTCTCTTTCACTGACCCTCCACTACTTTCTCAAGTACGGTATCCCTCCAGGGAACAGCCTCTCCTAGCAGCATGCCAAATAATTAAGGAGCAATGATGTCAGCTTGAAGACTAAGGTGTGCCTGATTCAGTCCATGGTCTTTTCAGTCACTTACTACATCTCTGAGAGCTGGACAGTGAATAAGGATGACAGAAGAATTGATGCCTTTGAGTTGTGGTGCTGGAAAAGATACTGAATATTCCATGGATGGCCGGGAGAACAGAGACATCTGCTAGAAGGTGCAGCCGGAATGTTCTTTGGAGGCAAGAATGATGAGGCTTTGCCCCACATCCTTTGGGCATGTTGACAGGAGGGGCTGTTCCTTGGAGAAGGACATGATGCTAGGAAGGTGGAGGGTCGGCGAAGGAGAAGACCCTCAATCAGGCGGGCTGACATGGTGATTGTGGTAATGGGCTTGACTGTGTCAGAGGTTGTGAGGCTTGTTCACAGGGTCCCTGTGAGGCTGTGACGGCACCTGGTAATGACAGCCACAGGCCCGCGTACGTGAGAGGAAGTTGTGTCACCTTCGTCTGTATTTTGGGTCAGAAATCCAGGTGCTGACTCGAATGGAGTCTCTGGGTCCAGGCAACAAACTTCCCCCCTCTTCTGTTTCCTGATGCTCTGAGGTCTCCCCGCCTCTGCTGGCATCCCTCTTTTTATCTCTGCTAAGAGCAGATGATGCAGCCACACAGCAAGGATGCCCTTCCATCACATCCTGGTCACCTCACAACCGGCCACTGACCACCTCCGGTCACATCGTGAGAGGTGCCCGTGTCAGCACAGGGCTGCCTCAGGGACGCCTCTTAACATCCTAGAGGTCAGAGTGACAGCACAGGGGACATGTCCCCAACACTGAGGATCGCAGCCCAGCGGAGTGGACAGAAGCTTCACAGACTCTGCTTCTCTGGAGCACCCCGCCGAAGACAGCCCCCTGAGGGAGCCCCTCAGGTCAGTGACGGCCGGGTATAAGAGAAACAGGCTCTGATGGGCCACGCTGAGGAGTGGAGCTGCCCTCCGTCCACACTCGTGACATGACAGATACCTGTCACAGCAGACCCCTGTCCCTGCCGTTACTGCCCTGCGCTGTGGCCAGCACTGGGCACAGTCAGCTGGAGCGTCCAAGCTCACCCGACCCCTTGTTGCCCTCTCCTGGTCACTAGCGGAATTCTGACTTTGCCCCCAGGACCAAATGCCCAGTCCCAGGCAGTGGACTGAAGAGCAGAAGCCAGTCATAGCATCTGATGGCCAGTGCTGGTTCGATCGGGAGTGCTGTGTCTCTCAGGGGACTCTGATGGCGTCATGGGAAGGAACTGTCTCACCGAAGGTACGAATCCACCAGCTGCCCTGCAGGAGAAAGCTGGGCAATCTCCTCCTGCTGTTGCCTGCCCCTGGACACCCCTGGACACCCCTGGACATCCCTGAACATCCCTAGACACCCCAAAACACCCCTGGACACCCCTGAACACCCCTGGATACCCCTGAACACCCCTGGACATCCCTAGACACCCCTAAATGCCCCTGAACACCTCTGGACACCCCTGAACACCCCTGAAAACCCCTGAACACCCCTGAAAACCCCTGAACACCCCTGGATACCCCTGAATACCCTTCAACACCCCTAAACACTCCTGGACACCCCTGAGTACCCCTAAACACCCCTGGACATCCCTAACCACCCCTGGGTACCCCTGGATACCCCTGAACACCCTTGTTGTTGTTATGTGCCATCGAGTAATTTCCGACCCATAGCGACCCTATGCACAACAGCTCTAAACCCTGCTCTATCCTGCACCAACCTCACCGCCTCTGACACACCCATCCTGATTACCCCAGTCACCGAATCAATCCATCTCATAGAGGGTCTTCCCCTCCTGCGCTGTCCCTCCACCCTCCCAAGCATGATGTCCCTCTCCAAGGACCCGTCCCTCCTGGCAACATGTCCAAAGTATGTCAGACGAAGCCCCAGAATCCTTGCCTCCAAGGAGCAGCTTGGTTTAATCCTCTCCAAGATGAATCTGTTTGTTTCCCTGGCAGTCCATGGTACATTCAGTACCCTTCTCCAGCACCACAGCTCAAAAGCATCCACTCTCCTTCTGTCCTCCCTAGTCATTGTCCAACTCTCTGATGCATAACAAGCGATTGCAAATACCATGGCCTGTGTCAGGCGCACCTTAGTCTCCAGAGAGACACTGTTGCTCCCTTAGACATCCCTAAATGCCCCTGGACACCCCTAGATATCCCTAAATGCCCCTGAACACCCCTGGACACCCCTGAATACCCATGGATGCCCCTGAACACCCCTGGACACCCCTGGACACCCTGAACACCAGCTGTGAGTTGGTTCCCGCTTTAGGACACGCAACGGCGATTTCCCTCAGCGGCTTGGCAAGTTAGGTAGTTAGGTGCCGTCGAGTCAAGTACGACTCATGGCGACCCCGTGAACAAAGATCTGAATCCTGTTCTGTCCTGTTCACCCTCACACTTCCTGACACACAAGAGCTCACTGCAGCAGTCACCATGTCAATCCACTTGGTTGAGAGTCTTTCTCTCCTTTCCAACCCTCCACCCTTCCCAGCATCATGTCCCTCTCCAAGGAGCAGCCCCTCCTAGCAACATGCCCAAAGTATGTGAGGTGAAGCCTCATCGTTCCTGCCTCCAAAGAGCACTCTGGCTGCACCTTCTCCAAGACATATCAGTTTGTTCTCTTGGCCGTCCATGGGATGGTCAATGCTCTTCTCCAACATCACAGATCAAAGGTGTTAATTCTTCTTCCGTCATCCTTATTCATTGTCCAGCTCTCAGATGCATAGCAAGCGATTGGAAAGACCATGGCCTGAATCAGAACATGCAACCAAGATGCATTAATGATAATTGGTGACTGAAATGCAAAAGTTGAAAACAGTGAAGAAGATAGTGTATT